TCTTACTTTTAAAGCACTGACATGAGAGTGCATCAATCTTCTCGAAAAGTTTATTTCCCAAAACTATAACGCGAAGCTTCACCGCGCCGAACTGAATTGAGACGGAGGCAGAGAGAAGATGAAAGGATGTTCATGTAACATTCATAACCGGATAATTTAACTAAAGGTGCAGAGATGCTGAGAAAAAGACGCGAAGATGGAGCGATGAGATGATGAGACAGTGATGAAATGCTGGAAAGGAAGGAAAAGAAGCTGCAGCGAGCTGCTGTCAGCCGTTCATGGTGGCGTGTGGGCGGCTGGCAGCTCAGACTGAGGCTCTGCTACTGTACATTTGTGTGCGTCTATCTCACGTCCTCGGCTGCATAATATAGATCCGCGGCCTGCTGATTCAGCCGCCCAGAACCTCCCGTCACAATTACAGCCGGCGTGTGGCGGCGCTTCCACTCTGGGAGGTGTCACCGTGCTTCATGGAGCTCATCAGTCGGCAGGTCGGTCTCCTGCTAAGAGGACGCTGCCAGACACGGAGGATGCTGAGTCTGAGAGTCGCCTTCAGGGGAACAAACATGAATGTTTAGGCCTCATGAAACGCCGTCACTTCTAAAGTGTCAAGGTTTAAGAGTCACCAGTGGTATGAGGTATCAGGACTTTGGGTAAAACCAACTTGCTTGATCATTCTGGATTAAAAAAAAGGTATGAGCAGCATTTATTGTCAATCTTGTCTGCACAACATTAGGTTCTTATACAACTAAACTGCATTCTGAAATACATTGATTTGCTTTGGAATTAATGTAATTTTGGACCCTGTGACGTGGTAGTAAAAGGTGTCGAGTTTGAAAGAGCAGCAAAGTCCATGTTAGGATACATGATGGGCGGTAACTGGCATAAACCAACCATCAGACTTTTACCCAGAAGACCAGAGTTTACATCCTGTGATGGACGAGAGAGCATCGGCCTCCGACTGAGGTTTTGTCTTCTCTTATTTATTATTGTTATTTTATTTAATACGTGCATTTAGGAAAATATTGCACTTTGTTTGACAGTTGTGCACCAAAATTTCTAATCTACAAGAGAAATCTGTCTTTTTTAACTTTATTTAAAAGACTCAAAGTTTGTTGTCATGCATGATGAAGTCTTCACACCACAGATCTAAACTGAGTTTGTATTGAATCTCTGATCTGTATGAAAACACTGAAAACGTCCTTGCGGCTCCATTTGTCCTCAGTCTAATTTAAGAATTAAAGGTGCTGATTGTGTATCTCAAAAGGAAATCTTTACATTTTAGAAGCTTTGTTTAGGTTTTACACCAAAACTTCTAATCTACAAGAGAAGTCTGTCTTCTTTTAACTTTATTTAACAGACGTAAAGTTTGTTGACGTGCAGGTTCTATATCTGCACAGCAAAATGAACAAAGAGCAGGAGAGAAACACTGAAAAAGAAGATTTGGTTGCAAGAAAGAAACACAATGTCATCTGAAATATTTGATAAAAAACGATGTCGACCAAACACAGGTGTGCTGTTGGAAAGTCCTGCAACTAAAGTTTGACCATTTGATTCAGCACCACAGAATCAAATCAAAAAACACCATATTGGTGTTACACCATATGAGAAAGGTTCCAAATGGCTTTTATTTAAAAAAAAAAAAAGAAAAACAAACTATTTTTCATGTTTGATGCACTCTCCTGCAAAATCATTCTGGAATAATTATTCATTTCCAAACAGAGTTTCTCAGCTAATCTGGTAAAAGCATCACAGTGTGGTTTTGTTTTCCAACATGGTGCAGCTCTGCTCTTTGGGTTTGAGCGACTCATTTCACTTTACACGCAGTCATTTGATAAATTATTAATATCAAACTATCAGAACTACTTTAATGCCACTCTTGTAGCAATACATCTATTAGAGGAAGCTTTTAATTGTATTCACAGTGAAAACAGGCGATCGCTGGCCTCGGAGCTGTTTTAGGAGGTGAAATCCAGGTGAAAGTCAGTTTAAACCTTATTTCTAATTAAAAGTCAGTTTTAAAATGAATTTGTAAATTGTGAAAAAAGTAGAATGTGTGTATTAGCATGTTCACAAAACAAGCTATCCTGAGCTGAAATAGACAAAAAGGCCAAAGGTTTATGGATAACTTTGCACAAATTGTATTAGTTTCAGTGAAGAGAAGCTTCTTCTGCAGCAAACAGAGCAGTTTGTAGACAGAACATCTCCACGTTTGGTTGTTTTTTAGCCCTAAGCCACATGTTTGTGCATGTTCTGTATGTGAAAGTCATTTATTCACACTGAAGTCACAACAGCTCACACTGGAATCGTCTCATCAGTTTGTCTCCGAACGATTTATTAATATTTCTGTTTTGCAGTGATACAGAAGTGAACCGTTCGCTGGTTTGACATCAGCTGCTGGCTGTTTTTTTTTTTTTTTTTTTAGGAGCTCACTGAGACTTTTTTAATTGTTTTTTTTTTTCTTTCAAATTGTTTTTCTAATGAGGCAAGATGGCAGAAGTTTCTGTTCAGACAGGCGAGGTAGTAAAAATGCATTTCTGCTCAGAGCTGTGGAGGGAAATGAGAAAGTGGAAGACGTTCATTCACCGTCCTCTCGAGCTGCTTCATTCAAAACATTTCTGACTGAAAATGGCTTCAACTTAAATCGAGCAGGCTGTTTATAATATGAGGGCACATTCCCGTGAGTTGCTTTAAATGTATGTAAGAACATTTCCATGTTTTGGTGACCTTTTGCATTTTGATTTACTCGCATCAGGTTTCACACTTCATGTTTTTGCTTTATTTGGCAGCAATCAGTCTGATGTTAAATGTCAAATGAGATGATGAATGAATTTATAAGAAGTTAGTAAACTGAGTTATTTAATTTTAGCTCTTGATAAAAACACTGAAACGTCCTTGTGGCTCCACCTGCTCTCTCCACAGTCTAATTAAAAAGCTTAAATGTACTGGTTGCGTGTCTCAAATTGAATTTTTTTCTACATTTCAGCTGACTGTAATGTGTTTTATTTCTGTTTTGTGTCTGTGCATTGGTGTGTCCAGACCAATGACGTGGTAGGAAACACCTGGAACTGGCTCTACTTCATCCCTCTCATCATCATCGGCTCCTTTTTCATGCTCAACCTGGTGCTCGGTGTCCTGTCAGGGTAAGTCATCTAAAAACAAAAAGACATGATACAGATCTGCTTAAAGAGTCCATTTACATGTAATTAAAGCTGATTATAGACCAAATGGAATCAGTGATGTCAATAGGGAAATACCTTAATTTGCTTGTGGTGAGTTTTGTATTAAAAAGTGGATTAAAAAATATATAAAAAGTCCGACTTTATTCCATCTAAAATCATCACATTTTTAGAACAGCTTCTGCTTGACCATGCCTGATTTGTATGACATTTTTATAGAATTAAATATGGATATTTATAAAGATATTTCTGAAATTATAGGTTAATATAACAAATACTTTGAGATTTAAAAAAAAAAAAAAAAAAAAAGCACTTTTAGCAAATTTTTTTTCACACTGAAATTTGAGGCTATTTAAAAAATAATAATAATAGAATTACATTTTTTTTTTTTCATTTATGTGGTCAAATATTTCAAATTAAAAGTATTCTCTATGTTTTGTTCTATATTATTGTGACCTGCAGCTACACATGGTTCAGAAATCATCACTAGTTGACTTCTGCGTTACACAGTTTTAAAAATTTGTGCTCAAAGATGGCACTTTTCATGATGGCTTATATTCCTTTTTTTTTTTATAGTTCAACTGGTCCAATTTTTCAGATTCTGTATTAATGACAAAATGAGAACTAACTGAAAATTTCTGACTTTAATCTTTAATAGTTCCTGAGATGTTGTCATTCAAACAGCGTCAAATTTCAATGTGCAAAAAAACCTTTAAAAAAAAGTACTCAGTATATCAATCAAACATTTCTCAAATATCATTTTAAACATTCGTAATTTATGATAAAAATAAAGATCAGAGATGGTCGAGCAGAAGGCTGATGATGATTTAAGTTTAAAATAACCCTTCAGAGTTTAAAGGATGATCTCTTCATACAATCAGCAGCTTATTTGCATTTTTCCACTTTAGTCTCTCCTTGCGCTGCTTCCAGCCAGAAAACCTTGTTTACTGTAAGACACACAGTCAACAGCTTTTGGTTTTAATGAGTGAATGTTTCAAAGTAGAGCTGCTCCCTTTCCAAAACTATTTTTCAGGGCAAATCTGCAAAATGTTGAAAAGAACGAGCGGTATATGACATCTGGAGGAGCAAAACCGCTGCGTCGTGAATGGATCTGTGCTTTTTGAGAAGGCTTTAATAGAACATTTCTTTATTTACTCTGATTAAGGCTTGAATCAAACCTGCCAACTTGTGCTTGGACTCACAGATTACAGCTTTATAACTCCCCCTAAAAGATGAGAAAATGAAATGATCTCGTGGTTTGTAGGAAATCGCTGAGTGGAGGTTGAATTATTCACCTCTTCTCTATTATCCATCGGCCTTTTTCCCCCCTTTGTTCCTCTCATTGTCGCTCCCCGTCGTCCTCTCGTGTCATGAACAGCCTTTAATCACGCTGATGCCTGAACATCTCATTGAATCTGTGGCCACAAAGAGCCTTGTCGTAGCGAAACCCCGATGAAAGCAAACACGATGTACATTATCATTAGTGTGGAGGTCATGAGAGACCCTCTGCTGAAGGAGAGGATTCAGACGGATTGATGTTCATCTGGTGTTCTTTCAGGAACGTTTACCTGACGTCGCATCTTAGCGGTTTCCATAACACCGCTGGGTCGTGCTAACTTTGTCGATGCTAAATTAGGTCTAAACTAAAGGTATTTGGGGATTTTTCTGAACAGTGAAAGAAATAAAAACATTTTGGTTGAATAAGTTTAACTAGTGGTCGTATTAGGGATATTACAGGAGGTTAGCTTAGCATAGCATCAAGAACAACAGCTGGTCTGGTTAGCTAAGGTAACAAAATCTGAAGTGTTTTAATAGAACACATCTGAACTTGTTTTTTTGCTTCCTGAGGCTGTTTCAGGCCTCTTTAATTCTAACTGACTGATTTCGAGGCCCAGATGTTTATTCTAACCCACAAATTAAATGACGATTAGCATCCCAAGACTCAAACTCAGATGCCTCGAGGTGTTAGCGGTGGTGGAGCTGCCTGCTGAAGGGACCTCAAGTCGGCATCATGAGAACCTGATAAGTGTCGTTGGCGAACCCTTCCTCTGTTTAGAGATAAACATGTATCTGGGCCTCGAAATCAGTCGGTTAGAATTGAAGAGGCCTGAAACAACTTCAGGAAGCACATACACAAGTTCAGATGCGTTCTACTGAAACACTTTGGCTTTTGTTACCTCAGCTAACCAGACCAGCTGTTGTTCTTGATGCTATGCTAAGCTAACGGCCCGCTCAGGCTATATATTGTAATAGCCCTAATACGATCACTAATTAAGGTTATTCAACCAAAATCCTTCAGACAAATCTTTGGTTTAGACCTAATTTAGCTTCACAAAATTAGCAGGACCCAGTGGTGTTATGGAAACCGCTAAGATGCGACATCAGGTAAACGTTCCCGAACGAACACAAGATGAACATCAGTGCGTCCAGTTTAACATCGATGCTTTCTCTAATATCATGTATTTGACGGTGTATATGTGGGACTCCCCATTGGTCAGTTAAAAATGCCTCTTGGATGATGGAGAAAAATGTCTTCAAGAGTCAAAAAGAAGTTCGGTTCAGTTGTTTTCTACCCCTAAGCACCTCTAAGGCTGACTGTTGAACATGCATTATCATGATTTTATTATCTTTTAGCATGTCTTTTTTTTGCATTGAGGTTTTCACACAAATTCAGCTCCGACGTTGGCATTTGTTTTTTTTATTGTTGCCAGATAATGTGAGTTTACGCTAAAGTGCTGCTAACACTGTAAACATTGGGAAAAGAATGACTACATGTCATAAATGTTGTCCTACTAGCACTACTTTTACACTACTTTTACTACTGCTAAGCAGTAGCTTAGCATGAAGGCTCTCGTTTTTTATGCTAAGCTAGTGCTCTGCAGATTATAGCTTCATAAAGGATCAGATTGGTGTGAGTCTTACGATTATAGTACATGCAGCCGCTACGATCCAATGAAACCGCATGAGATCTGTCATCTTAGTACTTCAAACACTGTTTTTCTTCTCCATCCACACATTTCAGTTTTTTCCCCTTTCTTACCCCTCAACAGGTGCCCAGCTGTCATCTTAACTCTGTCCATCCGATGAGTGTTTAAACCTGCAGCATCTTCCATTTGTTGCTGTGATCAGTTTCTGTTCACGTGTCTCTCTGACATCCAAACGTAAACGGCTCATATAAAACCCAAGCTACCATCCGTGATAAAATGCTAAATCAATCTATGTATCTCTGCGTTTTAAAAATCCTCCATGATGACAGGGAGTTTGCCAAAGAGCGTGAGCGTGTGGAGAAGAGGCAGGAGTTCCTGAAGCTTCGCAGGCAGCAGCAGATTGAGAGGGAGCTCACCGGATACTTGGAGTGGATCTGCAAAGCAGGTTAGACTCATCTCTGAAACAGCGTGAGAGCTGCAGTGTTAAAAAAACATGACAAATTGATGGAAAGTTCCATTTTTTTCCTCCCTCTCTCTCTCTCTCTCCCTCTCTGTGCTGCTGCAGAGGAGGTGTTGTTGGAGGAGGAGGATGAGATTGCAGAGGAGAAGTCTCCGCTGGACGGTGCGTGGTACAAGAGGAAACAAAACCTTCCAGGTGAGAGCAGGGCTGAGTATCTGCTGCCTGCTTTACCGCGGTCCACCGCCGCCATGGCAGGCCGACGGTAAACCAGGCTCACAGAGGCACGGTTCATCATTTACATCTGAATCTGCACGTAAATCATCCCCAAACCGCCAGTCGTGAATGTGATCTCGTTCCCTCTGTTACCTCGTCGAACGGACTCTTGAGATCCACATGATTCCTTTTCTTAGACAAATGTTGAAGTAGATTAAAAAACCAACAAGATGGCTGGCAGCCTTCTGGTGATGACAGGACTCCAGGAACTGGATCCAGAAACAGTCTGGCATCCGACGCCGCAACTTGTCATTTATACCGTTTAGTTTGCGAGCAGATTAAAGAAGACAAGAAAGAGCAGATATGAACTGTTAATTAACGAGCTTCAGAGGTGCTGGAAGGCACATTTTCTTACACGTTTGACTAATCTGAGCCACCAGAACTAGACTCCTGGTGTTCTGGCTTTCTCCTCGTTTGTTATCTGCCTGTGACCATTTTTAAAATCTCTTTCACTTCACCGACAAGCAGCTGACACAGCAAAGAGGAGACTACTCCCACTAGTTATTTTCACTGCAAATGCTAAGCTAAGCTAACTGGCACCAGGTTATATCTTCAGATTAAAGCGTAGCTGCAGTGAACATGCAGGGCAGCTGCTGCATCACCACACTTCCACTAACATCAATGAAACTGGCTACACAAGACATGAGAGGAGCCCATAAAGCCCAATTCATGCTCTCCACACCACAGACGCAGCTCTGTTCGCGCTACAGTAGGACCGTCGGTTTGCTGTGCAGCTGGTTGCGTTTTCTCTACGATAGAATACAGACAAACACAGAAGAAAGCCCAGATTTGGAGGTAGCTTCAGAGGCCGACATCGATTTCTGGATTTGTGGAGAAATGAGGACTCCCCGCTGTGTTCTGGCTCCGTCAGTGGAAAGCATGCACAAATCAAAGCTCCTCCAAAGTCCAGCAGCGGCTACTGCTATTACAACTCGTCTAATAATTTGTTATATAAGTGTCACACCAAACATTTGTTTTACTGGCAGTCGGTGCACAGATTAATGACTGCACGTGGACGGCTGATGACAACATTTAGGTACCTTTGCAGAAAGCATGACTTCAGTGGTGGATATGCAACAGAAATCAGTGCTGAAAACATACAAACAGACAGGTCTTCTATTTATATGATTTATGGGAAGTTTACAATCCTGTTTATACAGAAAGTGGACACAAACTGTCTGCATTTGTTTTAATTAAACTGTTCATATACAGGAAAAGTTTTTATTAAAACCGCCTCCCACTTTGGGGTCTTGATCCATTGGTGGGATTTATTGTCTGAGTGTCACCTGATAGCTGCTTTGGAACTTTGCAGCTTTTAACCCTCTGAACCCAAAAACCCACCAACAAGTTTAAAAGTCATGTTATCCTAAAAGAAAATCACCAGAATGACACAATAAGAGCCAGAAACTGAACTAATGAAGTGTGACATGAAGTTTCATGAGGAAAATTAACCAAATCGAAGCTTCAAACTGCTAAAATTGCTTTTGAATTGATATAACTTTATTGTACATGTCTTATATTTTAAAAAATAAAAATAAATCTTCAAAACTAGACCATTTGCACCACATGTTGTAAGAATAGAAATAAAAGGTTCTGTGCTTCTCAGACCAACTTTTTTATGACAAAAATTCTGAAGCGGACTGAACTGCAGGCTGTGTTCACACAGAGCTGAGAGGAAACAGGAGAAAGGATAACATTGATAGTAAAATATCTATAGTAGGTGTATGAGGTGTATGAGTTTTTTTTTTTTCTAATATTGGTAACAGCTGTGGGTACTTTGAAAAAAGTTGTACATGATAATTCTATTTTTTTTTTTTTTCAATATTTGCAAGACAAATAATCAAAGAAATTCAACTTTTTTTTAATGACTAATTTTATTATAAAGCATTTCTGAGTTCTTTATGCCAATAGTCATGTTTGCTGTGTTTCCACTGAGCTGCAGGACTTTATATTGCAGTAAAAACTGAGTCGACACTGAATCAAAATGTAAAATTATGAAAAGAAACCCTGTCTATTTTAAGGTTTAGAGGGTTTATAGATTAACCTTAGGACACATTCACACCACAAACAGTCCATGTACATGTTTAATGTCACTAAAGAGTAAATTAACAGGTATCAGGGTTTAAAATAGAATCTTCATTCTAAATATATTTGTCCAAAAATTGCACTGATCCCCTTTAAATCAAACTGAACTTAATGTCTTTAATTAGTTTCTATTCTTTTGAGACAAACTTCACATTTTAGTTTCACCTGTGATCCAGAATGTTGTGAAGTTCTGTCGAGCAGTTTCTCATCGAATATCAGTTCTTATTGTAGGTGTGGCACAAAACAAATGCTTCTTCTCAAGGGCACGGTGCACACAAACTGCTTTACTCCTGAATGTTTTTAAATTGGCAGAACAACATCCAATATAGTGTTCAACCTATTAGAAAAGTGAGATGTAACGTATGAATCAGGGCTCATGTTCGTTCTAAATTCTAGTTTTGATGAGATACTTTCCAACCATTGTTCTTCAAACCTTCATAAATCGTACTTTTAATAGATTTTCCATTACAAAATTGCATCTAAACCATGTGTGGGGGGTCTCCATTCACATTAACTCCTGCTGTGCCGTAATCAGCGCTGATATTTTAGCGCTAATCACGGTTTCTGCTCTGTTCTCTCGACTTTATTGTAGCAGCAGCTCAACACTGTCACTCAGTTCTTTGTCTCTGCCTGTTTTTCCCCTGATTTCAGTCCATTAGGCCTGGTGTGAAGGCAAGGGGTTAATTAGTGGGATTTACAGCACCGCTCTGATTAGATTTGTTAAAGTGAATACACTATAAAACACACACCGTTCCCTTTCTTTTTTTTTTATATCCAGACTCACACTTAACACACACGTGCTGAGGATTCCTGTAAAGTGATAGCAGCCAGCGGCCTCATTTCCTCAATTAGTTACAAATGGAGGATTAAAACACTCGAGTCCACAAACCGTTCTGATGTTGCTGGAGCAGAAAATATGCATTTGGCCTTTGCAGATGAGTGACAGCTGCGAGCAGCGGAGGGAAGTGTCAATCCAAGCCGCCCGTCTCAGCAGAGATGGTTTTTAAAATGCTTTATTCCAAAACGATTTGTCTTCTCATGATAATAAGTTGGGGAGAGGATCTTTTATAGTATTTTTGACAGGCTGAATATTTCATTAGGAGATATAAAAAAATAGCCCAACTGAAGGTAATTGCTGTATTTTATTTTTTAAATTCCTTCAAAAGAAGCCTTTAAATAAATCAAACGGCGCCAGATCTGCAGCTTCCCTTGCAAATATTATTTTTAATGATTTCTTTTTCCCTCAGGCTTCACTGCAAATACCTCCTTCTTATCAAGTCATTCTTCAGCTTTTCTTGAATTTTATCATCTTAAAATGTGTAAAATTGCAGAAAAGTTATTAAAATTAATCACGTTGCCGCCCTGAGACACGTTTAATTCTAGTGCCAGACACTGAAAACTT